CTGGAAAGATGGCTCATTGGTTGAGAGTACTGGATGTTTTTTTCAGAGTACCTGAGTCCAGTTCTCAGCTCCAGCTTCTCGGCCAGGGGGTGGGGATGGCGGTGGGGGAAGCTGGGTCTTCTGGTCTCCACAGACACTACCCCAATATACGTAATTAAAAAGAAATCTCTTTAAAAATAAATAAAATATTTCAATAGTAATGTAGAGGGACACAAAATGCAAATGACTTTTGATTTTTCAACAACTAGAAGACATTGTTGAAATAAAAGAAAAACAGAAGTCTGATGACTTAGCCTGATCTAGATGCCCAAGACCCTGGGTTCTATCCCCAGCACTGGGAAGAAGAAATAAAAAGATGATCTTGTTTGCAGCTTTGGTGAATCACTATCAATAAAATGCCAGTTCTCCCTGAGCTAATCCTATTTGAGCACAATTCTACTCAAATTTAACAGAATTTTCCAAAAAACATTAGCCAGCTGACTCTGAAGTTTATACGAAAAGCAAAGTAATTAAAAATAACCAAAGGGATGTTGAAAAGGAAAACAACATATATGAAAAATACTATAATTAACATACTGCTTTGTATATTAAGCTAAAAGATAAAATAAAATTGAACTACTTTGATTATGTGATTTTAAGATAATCTTGATTGTTACCTAATGATTGATAACAGCAATAACAACAAAGTCCAAACAAACACACACACTAGTATAATCAATGGATTTTTTTTTTTTTGGTGGTTTTTCTAGACAGGGTTTCTTAGTGTAACCAGCCCTGACTGTCCTGGACTTGCTTTATAGACCAGGCTGGCTTCAAACTCACAGAGATCTCCCCCCTGCCCCCTGCCCCCTGCCCCCTGTCCCCTGCCCCCTGCCCCCTGCCCAAGTGTGCCACCACACCCAGCAGTGGATTTTTGTTTTTTAAACACTTTATGATCCTAGCTGGCCCGAAACTTGCTATGTAGATCAAGCTTACCTGGATCTGATAGACAGCCAACTACCTCTGCCTCTTCAGTGCTAGGAATTAAAAGTGTGTGCCTCCATGGCTGGCTTAGCCAGTCAAATTTTCTTGAGAAAATTTCAAAAGAGAAAGCAATTCAGTGAAATAAACGTTAACCCTTCTCAACATCAGCTCACACAGCCAGAAATATAAGTGGGAGGATAAGCCTTGACCCTTCCCTCACATCCCACACAAAACTTAGTTTGAAACAAAGTATGGTGCTCCAAGACTGTGGAATGCACAGCCATGCAGAAGAATTAAATGATGAATACACACAACTGGGATGCTGGCCAGGGGAATTTCAAATTCCAAGGGAATTAGACCAGATGAACAAGCTGGCCCCCAAAAGATTACATATTGTTTGATATCATTTATATAACTTTCGTTTTGTTTTTCGAGACAGGGTTTCTCTGTGCAGCCCTGGCTGTCCTGGAACTCACTCTGTAGACCAGGCTGGCCTCGAACTTAGAAATCCGCCTGCCTTTGCCTCCCAAGTGCTGGGATTAAAGGCATGTGCCATCACCACCCAACCATTTATATAACTTTTATGTAATTTTTTTCAAATGACAAAAGTTTAAATACAGGCTACCAGTAGGGCTGAGGAGAGATCCAGGAAGAAGGTGGGCACAGCTATAAAGGGCAGCATAGTGTTTGTTATGTTCAGAATACTGAATAGCAGTGAATACACCAACTTGTGCAATTTATAAAATATTTATATGACACACACAGAAACAGAGAGGGAGAGAGGCAGAGAGAGAGAGAGAGACAGAGAGATGGAGAGACAGACAGAGAGCAGCAACTAGTACCCAGGCTATTTGAGGTGAGTAAATTGTATCACCATCACTAGTCTCTTTATGATACTGTATTATATTTTTAAAAATTGTTACCATTGAGAGAAACCCCGGGCAGAGCACACAAAAAAATTCCTCTGTGCTATTTGCTACAACTACAGTAAAAAAACAAGAATCAGAGTAAAACCTGAAATTAATTAGACAGAGTCCTGTGTACTCAGAAAGACAGCCATTTGGGAGGCTAAAGGGTTATTTGAACTCCTAAGTTCCACCGGCCTGAGCAACAGAAGAAAACTTAAGGGACAGGGAACTAACTGTATGCCTAAACGGAGAAGTAACCCTTTCTGGTTATGTAGTACCTGTGTGCACCTGAGTATATGGATGTGCCCACATGTGTGCTGTGATCAGAAGAGGCCATGGAATCTCCTGAAAGTAGAGTTTCAGGCAGTTGGGAGCCACCTTGTGGGTGCCAGGAACTGAACTCAGGTCCTCTGCAAAAGCAGCAAGTGTTCTAAACCATTGAGTCATCCCTCCAGCCCCGAAAGGCCTCTAGAGGTAACTTTGTAATGCTTACTTTCATTATATTTTTTTCTTAAAATTCCAAGAATTAGAGCTTTGTGTAACTTGTAGAAAACGATAATAGCAATGACCTGTGGGCAGGCAAAGATTTGTTAGGACAAAACCAAGCGGTGAATATGGCATACAATTCTGGTAAATTGTAGTTCATCAAGCTAGGGTGGTTTATACCTGTGATCCCAGCACCATGGAGAATCACAAATGAAGGCCAGCCTGGGCTTCATAATGAAAGAAAAGAGTGCCACTCACCTCTTCCAATCTGACTGGGGAAAATTTATCAAATAGCTCCCTCGGGATACAAGGGATGTGGGAGGGGCACCACTGCAGTCCTTGCCTGGAGCTGCTATCCAGCACCATTTCCCTCTGTGGAAGAGGACATGACTCCAACAGCAGTGGCAACACTGCTGTTAGTGTCCAGAGATGCAAAGGATGGTCTTTTCCACAGCACCCAGGATGTCAGGAATTATACTCCTCATTAAAACTCAGAAACCAAGGATGAAGAAGGCTGCCTGCCCCTTTTTCAGACTTAGAGAGGGGAAGAAAGCAGAAATGGGAGCCAGCCACCTGACCAGAAAAGATTTAGTCTCCTCCTCCTCTTCCTCCTCTTCCTCCTCTTCCTTCTCCTCCTCCTCCTCCTCCTCCTCCTCCTCCTCCTCCTCCTCCTCCTCCTTCTTCTTTTTTCCTTCTCCTCTTTCTCCTCCTCTTCTTTCTCCTTCTCCTCCTCCTTTTGGCTTTTTGAGATGGGGTTTCTCTGTGTAGCTCTGACTGTTACGGAACTTGCTTTGTAGACCAGGTTGCCCTTGAATGCTCAGAGGTCCACCTGCCTCTACCTCCAGAGTGATGGGATTAAAGGGGTGTGCAACCACTGCTGGCTTTTTCCATTTTTTAAAAACTCACTTTACATCACAATCTCTGTCCTGCCCCCAGTACCCAGTCCTTTCTTTCCACAGTCTCTCTCTCCTCCCCATCCCTTTCTCTTCTGAGAGAGTGGAGACCACCCCACCCCATATCCCCCACACTGGCACATTGAGGAGTTGGGGGAAGGGTTGGGAGCCCCTTAGGGGATAGGAACTCCATATTAAGACCAACAGAATCAACTAACCTGGACCCTTGAGGTCTCTCAGAGACTGAACTACCAACCAAAGAACATACACAGGCTGGACCTAACCACTCCCCAGCTCCCCACATATGTAGGAGATGTGCAGCTGGGTCTTCATGTGTGTCCCAAACAACAGGAAGGGGATATCTATCTCTAAAGCTGTTCTCTGTCTATGGAATCCAATCCCCTAACTCCGCTGTCTTGTGGTCTCAGTGGGAGAAGAACCACCTGGCCCCGTTCTCCATTCTAGTTCCACACCGTTCTGTCAGCTCTGGGTGGCTTGATGAAGGGGCAGCTGCTAATTTGGGCCTCAGCTGTGATTCTTTTGAGCAAACCACCACCTTGTGGCAAAGAATATGACTTGCAGGAGAAAGTTAATCTTTCAGACTAAAGCTTGACATTTTTGCATTAAAACAAAGCAAAATAATACACGCATTCCTTAGCATAAGTCTAATTAGAAGGTATGTTTTCCAGAGATTTGGTTTTGGACAGAACAATATCACTGACTAATATTATCATATATTAAAAAAAAAAAAAAAAAACCAAGTTCCAAGGGCTGGAGAGATACTTTAGTTGTTAAGAGCACTGTCTGTTTTTTCAGAGGACCCAGGGATCAGTTCAGCACCCCATATGACAGCTCAGTAGCTCCAGTTCCACAGGATCTGGCCATCCTTGAGCACTAGACATATTGCAGACAAAACATACGTATAAAAATAAATTCCCCCCCCCCATTCCTTAAATAACGGCATAAAAAGCATGGTAGTTCAAAGTGACGGATTTGGGAGTGGGGAGACATGATTCAAACAGTACAGTTAAATTCTGATTTTTAGATTTGTTTGTTTTATATTATGTGTATGTTCTCCCTAGATATATGTATGTGTACCATGTATGGTGCCAAGAAAATGAGGAAGGCAGAAGAGACTTACGATCCCCTGGAGCTAGGACTGTCAGCCACTTCATGAGTTCTGGGAATTGAACCCTGGTCCTCTGTGAGACAGTACGTGCTCATAACCTCTGAATCATCTCTTCAGCCACACATCCTCTGTCTCTGTCTTTTAATGGCCTTTTAATCAAATCAGACTATTGATATGCTTGGATTAATAATCACTATCTGTACCTCTTGGGAATATGTGAACTTGACTTTCGAAGTTAATTCTGAATTCACAATTACTTGCAGACTTAAAAGACAGCTCTTATGTTCCTGAAAAGCCATCTCCCGCGAGGCACTACTTCAAGGATTTCAGGGATGGAAAGCTGCACACCAACTCTGGCAGACAAGCAGGAAGGAGGCTGGAATGAGCCGCACCAAGCACGGAAGGGTGGGATCTTTACCTTAGTGTCCTCCAGACCGACACTCCCTTCGACCAATGAGAGCTGCCCACTGGCGGCGGAGGGTTGGGTGCGGGGTTGCCAAGACGACAAAGACGCTGCAGAGTGAGTTGGAGGCTCTTTGGTTTGCCCAGAAGTTGTGAGGCAGCTACCTTGCTCATTCTTTGCTCATTCCCCAGGTAATAGTTTGGTTTCTTTGCAGAACGATGGGAAACAGGAAGAAGGAAATTGCCCTGCAGGTAAGCCTCGTGAGGCGTTAGCTATTGGCACTTATTTGAGAGGGTGGTGCGGAAGTGGGGTGCAGGATCAAGATGACTTTCCACTTACTAGCAGTGTGAGACAGTGTTTGGGAGCCCAAGTGCCCAACCCTTCTGTGATAAAGTAGAAATAAATTATCTGGAGCACCCAATAATGGCAACTTTTTATAATAAATATCCCGACCAAGGCACAAGCTCTTAATGGGCCTTTGCAACCAACTGTAAGACTCAAGTGGACATTAGTATAAAACCACAAACCCGAGAGAAGATGAAGCAAGCTTATTTTCTGTTGGATAGTAATTGCAGAAAGTGTACAGGATATATACAGCTTCTTTGGATTTGGGCATACATCTGTGTGCTCTGTGGAGACCAGTTTCCCGGCACTGTTCTGTTCACACTGTGGTTTGAGACGTGTTGTATGATGAGCGTTTGCTGCGTAGAGTGCTTTACTTCACATGCACATAGGACAAGGCAGATCTTTCCTCCTCCTCCCCCTCCCTCATTGGTTTTGAGCCGGGGTCCCTCTCTGTAGCTCACCCATGAAGTGAGACTGGTGAATATCCAAAGAGTCATGCAGCGTTGACATACTAGGACTTGAGTGTGGGGGATCGTCTGTGTTAGATTCTGAGGATTGGGTTCCCCCATGACTGTTGTGGAAACCACTTCCTCAACCTCTGAGCTCTGTGCAGAAGCCGGTAGAGTAAGACATGAACTGCAGAGTTATGGATGAGATTCTGGACAGTTCCAAGCCGCCTGCATGCATGTTCTCGATGTCTCTCACAATAACAGGCCTGTGGGCTTCTCAGTTCATTCTTTAATGCCATAGGTCCCTGGTGTGTGTGTGTGTGGGGGGGAAGTAATACTTATTAGTAGTGCTTTGTATTATTCCTCAGAGCTCTGAGTATAACCCAGTACCCAAAGTAAGTGCTCCCATCTGCTGAGAGAGAGAGAGAGAGAGAGAGAGAGAGAGAGAGAGAGAGAGAGATTCCTTTAAAATAGAGAACTATAGTAGAAGATCTGTAAACCTTGTATAGTTTCCTGCCATAATTGGTGGGTAATACATCCTAACATAGACCTTTACATATTTTTATCAAGAACAAGTTGTAGGGGGTTGGAGAGATGGCTCAGTGGTTAAGAGCACTGGTTGCTCTTCCAGAGGAGCTGGGTTCAATTCTCACCACCCAGATAGTAGCTCACAGCCTTCTGTAACTCCAGTTTCAGGGGATCCAACACCCTCTTCTGGCCTTCTCAGCACCAGGCAAGCAAAAAGTGCACAGACAGATTTGGAAGCCAAACACCCATACACAGAAAATAAAAATAAATAAATCTTTTTTAAAACCTTTAAAGAAGAGCAAGCTGTAATTTTCATGATCTTTTCAATTGAATAATGTCAATCCAATGCCCTATATCTGTTATATTTCTCTTTGATGTGGCAAAATACCAGACAGAAGCTACTCAAGAGAGATGGGTTTTTTTTTTGGGGGGGGTTGACTCTTCAGGGGATAGATAGCAGAGATGACTGGCAGTTAATGGCTCCATCTTTGGCAGGGAAAGCTTGCAACTTGGCTTGTTACATCTGGGCAGACAGGAAACTGAGACAGTTCTGGAAGTTGGTGTTGAGCTGTATAACTTCAATGCCTATCTGGACTGGCTTATATGTGCCAACTTTGTACGATGTTGTAAGGGCCCCAGAACTTGCTACAATGCCACCATTGGCTGGAGAGCATGTGTTCAAATGCAGGGGCCTATGGAATGCATCTCACTGAGAAACTGCAACACTCCCTATGGAAACATGTTAATTAGAAGGAACAAGAAAGTCACTGTCTAGTGGAGGAGCCTGGCTGACTTCCATGAGTGGTCAAGCCAGTGTGGTCTCTAATGGGCAGCTGGAAACAGTGTATCACTTGATTGGCTGTAATGAGGGCAAATCTCTGCGGCTTCTCTAACATGCAAACCAACCCAGGGCTACACCACAGGAGCCAAAGCAGCAGAAAACAGGCATGCTGGACTGCGGGTCAGTCCACAGAGGAACTGCCAAACCCTCTCCAAAGAGTCAAGTGATAGAAATAAAACAGCTGGCGAGTACCAAGTGGTGGTGGCGGCGCACGCCTTTAATCCCAGCACTTTGGAGGCAGAGGCAGGCAGATTTCTGTGAGTTCGAGGCCAGCTACAGAATGAGTTCCAGGACAGTCAGGACTGTTACACAGAGAAACTCTGACTTGAAAAAACGAAAGAGGGGCTGGAGAGATGGCTCAGTGGTTAAGAGCACTGACTGCTCTTCCAGAGGTCCTGAGTTCAATTCCCAGCAACCACATGATGGTTCACAACCATCTGTAATGGGATCCAATGCCTTCTTCTGGTGTGTCTGAAGATTAGTGTATTCATATACATAAAAATTAAAAACAGAAAGAAAGAAAACAAAAATAAACAAGCAAAAATACCCTACCTGCTCATCCCATATAACTATACAAAAGAAACATTCCAGAAACCATGGGGCATGGGGTGTGTGTGTGTGTGTGTGTGTGTGTATGTGTGTGTAGAGGGATAATAATATTCGTATCTCCTTGTATGTCATATCTAATATATACCAGAAGTCTTTATAAATAAGACAAATGTGAGTGGATAGCGAAAACTCCATAATTTCTGATAGTGACTGAACGTAACTACAAAAGGAGCCTGCACTGCACTGCTGCTTCTTTTAATAACACAAAGCAACCTCCTCTATGATTCCTGCACAAATACACAGAACACTTTTTAATGTCTGAGAATGGCACACAGTGTTTGTAGGTTAATTACTTTTCCTGTCATATAAGGGGGGGAGGAAGAAAGAAAGAAGATTGCTAACAGAAGACATTTAGAACTGCATTTGGGAATATTGCTGAGAGAGAAAGAGAGAGGGGGGGAGGGAAGGAGGGAGGGAGGGAGGGAGAGAGAGAGAGAACTCACAGAGAGACACAGAGAGACACAGAGAGACACAGAGAGAGGAGAGAGGTGGCCATCTCTGCCCCTACTGACAATGCTTTTGCTTCTCTCTGGCTGCAGGTCAACATCAAAACCCAGGAGCTTTGGGAGGAAATGCTTGGCTCCAAAGGACTGACTGGTGATTTGATTTGAAATGAAACCATTTCCCCTGAGCCATTCTTTTTGAAACCACACAATGATGCATGTGCAGAAGGGGCTACCATGAGTGTCGTAAGCCTGGGTCTCAGTCTATAGTGCTGCATTAGCCAGGGATGGTGGCATACTTCTGTAACCCCAGCGTCTGGGAGCTGGAAGCAGACAACCAGAGTTCAAGGTTCATGGCAAGTCTGAGGGTAGCTTGGGCTACGGTGACTTTGTTTCAAAATGTACAAACAGAAAAGGAACCAGCTGACTTCTTTGTGTCTGTGTGCACAGTGCCTTCTCTGTGTTTTTACTCTCCGGTGCAGTTACCTGTGCAGTCCCATGGAAAATTCCAAAAGTATAAGTTCATCATTTTACAATTACACAGCATTCTGAGAAGTGCTGAAATTTCCTGCCCTCCCAATGTTGTACATATCACTTGCTCATTATTCTCTTAGAAACCAGTTATCAAACTGGCTGTCTCAGACCTTGAAATCAGCTCCAGTCCGATCCAGCTTCTATTGCCCACTGGTGTCTTGAAGCGGAGCCCCTGAGAATACCAGGTATCGTTGTACTTCACGTAGTTGGACATCAGTAAACTCAACTCAGTGAATGAGTCAGTACTGTCAGGTAACAGGGTTCTCTTGTTTTTGAGCTGATTGCTGTACTCAGTTGGATGACCAGGCACAGAGAATCTTAATGATCTGATGCACAAAAGGAGAATGTTTTGGAAGGAAAATGGGCTTTCCTGGAACTCCCAGGATGAAGACATCACAGAGACTGGAACCAACCAGGGACTGCACAATCATTGTCCACAGCTATCTTTATATTAGTTACCACTGCTGGGTAACACTCTACCCAAGTAATAGTGGCTTTAACATGGGCTACCTTCCAGTATCTGCAGCTCTTAGATGAAGTGCAGTCCAGCAGGGTGTCTCTGGCCCCAGAGGCTTTACCAAGGTTGTTTATGTGTCACAGATAGATTTTCGCTTTGGGGCAGACTTCCAAGCTCTTTTAATATGGCAGGTGGTGGATCAAGCTCACTCGGTGGTTATCAGCAGGGTTCACGTCCTCACTGGCTGTTGGCCAGAGACGTAATTCCTTGCCATTGGTTTCTGTGTGAGGCTTTTCACATCTTGGTAACTTGCTTGCTCTAGACTTGGGCACTGAGAGACCATCACTGCAAGTCAGCCTTTGTTAACTTAGAAGTCACCTTCATACTCTACTGTGCTTATTAGAAGCCCATCATGAGATCCAGCCCACTCACAAGGGCTGCGGTAGACATGATGGTGTGCATACCAGGAGGCCAGAGTCTTGGAATTGATCATGCTCTCCTACCCATGACCATGCTCTCCTACCCATGACCATGTTCTCCTCTTCTCCAGGTAACTCTGCATCCAGTTATCCTCCTCTATCTACATATCTCATCAGCATTCAACAGTGCTCCCTCTCTTGAAATTCCCACAGTGCTCCAACCCTTTCCTTCACTGTTTCCTGAGATGTGTCCTGAACTCAGATGGCTTTCCAGAGCACGTACTAGGTTTTCCCTCTGTTTCTATGTTCTTCTACTCTATGGACAATCACAGTTCTCATTCCAAGGTTCACCTCAAAAGTAGCCTAACTATGTGAAATCTTTCCTCACCTCCACTTTTCTCTTCATGGGAGCCCCCTAAGGCTCTGTCAAGGTCCCCACCATATTTCCAGTTTGGCATACTCTGTCTGTCACCCCAGACTCTAATACAACAGTATTAACATTTCTATCTGGCATCTGTAGCAGACTCACCCAAGCCTGGGGCCAAATGGATACCAAATAATGCTAGTTCCATTGATCCAGTGTGCGTGTCTGTGTGTATGTTGACATAAACTCCAGTCAAGGGACTATGAACCCTTTTGATGGTGCCAAGAGCTAACAGTTGTACCCATGTGTCTAGTCTAGGAAGGTAAATACAGCTCCAGGGTGAAATGAATTATTACATTTTTACCAATGGTGAAAGAACAAGCATCATGTAATTCTTTTTTTTTTTTTTTTGAGACTCTGCTGTGTGTCAGCTGCCCCGATGGGTGCTTATGTGACCATGGCTAATATTTCCTGAGCATTGACTATGCCAAGCCTCCTTTCAGTAGTTCAAAAGTGGAAAGATCTTCTAAGACCTCTCATTAGATAAGTTAGAGGAATGAACACACACACACACACACACACACACACACACACACGCAGGACTGGAGGAGATGAGAGAGAATGGCCTTCTACCTTCTTTCTGAAGCCAGTAGAAACTTGTTTCCAAAGGCGCCCACACTAGCATCCTCATCTGCTGCTGCTCTTTCCAACCTGCCTTCAGATTTACACACAATCATCAGCCTCCTGAGTGCCCTCGGATTTGCTTCCTGTCTGTCTGAGTGAAATCTCATGCTCTTCCTCCCCAGCGTCTCACACCCCCACTCCCTACACCTTCCGTGACACTCAGTCAACCTTTGTCCTCACCACTCTTCCCAGAGCCAAGGAGAAAAAGAGGATGAGAATCCAGGAGAAGGTATGGACAAGACCGAAGCCAGCAGGAGGCATCAGTACAGACACTGCAGAGACTTTAATTGGGTCCCCATATCTTTTCCTCTGGGTCTTGAGCTTCCCTTCCTCAGTCAAGCTGTTCTCAGCATCCTCTGCCTTCGGAGACATTTCCCTTCCTCGGTCCAAGTGCAATTTTCCCTGTGGTGTGTTGGAACCCAAATTTCTGTCAGTTGTGAGGTCTTGTTCTCAAAGAAGAGCCTTGGTCTCGGAACAGATGACAAGGAGGCTCAAACCCCCTTCCCTCCAGCGTCTCAGGGCCTTTGTGAGCTCTCGTCCTAGGTTTTCTAATTGGTACTGGAAATGCAGTCTGTTTAGAATCAAGTACGCCTTCTTCTTGCTCGCCAACTACTCCCCAGCTTCCTCCATGTGTCTCAGAAGAGAAGTCCCGCACCCTGCACACTGAGTTGTTTTCATTCCTTTGAAGGTGTTGAGATGCCTCCTTTTCTTCCTTCGATCTCCATTGCCATTCTTGTGTATGGCCTCCTCATCCCTCCCAGACCCAGCTTGAGTCTCATTTTCTGCAAACTTATTTTACTCTGCCAGACTAACCACCACTGCCCATTTTCAGAAGCAGCTGAAAGCAACTCAGGTTATGGTGTCAGAGTTCTGGCTTAAAACTTGGCTCTGCTGAGCAATGTTTTAGCATGGCTCCTTTAAAAGCCAAATGTGGAAACTTATAGGATAAAGAGACCTGAGACTGGAGAGATGGCTCAGTGGTTAAGAGCATTGGCTGCTCTCTCAGAAGTCCAGAGTTCAACTCCCAGCAATCACATGATGGCTCACAACCATCTGTAGTGGGATCCGATGCCCTCTTCTGGCATGCAGGTATATATGTAGATAGAGCGCTCATATACCTTAAATAAATAAATAAATAAATCACAGAGAGAATTAATTAATTAATTAATTAAGAGGTCATTCCTAGGGGCTCTTCGCAGTCTCCCCATGGCAGTGCTACTCTAACTGCTGAAAAGGGTTGCTAGTTTCTGGGATTAGGCACAGACTTCTGAGTCTTGCGGTCTTCTGGTAAATATCCCTCCTCTACAATGTGACCACCACAGGCTGCTACTTGCTGCTTCCCTCTGATCGCACAGGCCAGGTCCTGTATGGTTCTGGTCCATATGAGTTGACTCAATCTGTGCAGCTTCTTCACAGTTTGCTTCAGTCACATGGGGGGAAAGAGTGATCCAGCAAACCCAGCTCCAACACCCACTAAAATGGACAGCATGAAAGAAATCCAAATTTCCCTCTGGAGGTCACCTCTTAGGAGAAAGATGTTGACTTTACAAGTAAATGAATGCTGCTTCACCCAAAGCAAGAAGCTTTAAATTTTTTATTTAAAATACTTATGTGTATGAGTGTTTTGACCATATTATGTAAGAGCACCATGTATATGCAGTGGGCATAGAGACTAGAAGAGGGTGTCTGATCTGGAACTGGAGTTACAGGTAACTGTTAGCTGGGATCAGAACCTGGATCTCTGCAAGAGCAGCAAGTGCTCTTGACCACTGTGCCATCTGAGTGGCATGAGAACAAGTGGCTTTTAATTCGTCAGGAGAAAGCCACATTTGTTATCAGTGGATAAGAGTCACCTGGAGGCTACTGGTCATCTACACTGACCTACTTTGGAGTAATCTGTGTTCCCTTCAGATACTCATCGAGTAACACTTTGCATCAGGCCTGATCCCCGAAAGGTAAAAGGATCACCTTAAAACATGTCTCTTCTTCCACCTGTACTCACTTCAGCTGTTCCTTCCCCATCCCACCCTCTTCTACTTTTAGACAGGTTCTCATGTAAAACAAACTCGCTTGTAGTTGAGGATGGTCTTGAACACCCAATCTTCCTGCCTCTGTCCCCCAAGAGTTGAGATTACAGTTGTGAGCCACCATGCCCACTTATATTCACTATATTTCAGATCCAAATTCCTGAGCTGGGATGAGGGAGGGTTATGTTTCGTGTCCAGTCCTAATCCACGAGGCTTACACCCAGCCCACAAGCATGTCCATTGCAGGGGTGGAGGGAGGAGAGCATAGTGCATGGATGTGGCTGTCTGGTGAGCATTGTCATTCCTTGCCTCCGGCAGTTGTGGACGTCTACCAGGGCTGGTGTGGACCCTGCAAACCTGTGGTTAGCCTCTTCCAGAAGATGAAGATTGAGGTTGGTATGGACCTTCTCCATTTTGCCTCGGTAAGATTCCTTCTCAGCAAAAAAAGTCACACAACAGCATAACAAATTAACCATGGAAGAAGCAAGGGCCAGGATGCACACGCTGCCTTTCAGATATAAAGGCACAAGCTGTCACTACTGTGTCATGTAGTCTCCAGTCAACCTCACCACCAAACTGTACAAAAACATGACACTCAGATGCATCAGCATATCCATCTTGGTTAGTGAGAGAACTTTGGTCAGAATGTTACTTCCAGAGCCCAGAGTTTCAAGACTTCTGTCTTCTAGGTCATAAAGGGAATGTTTGAGCAAATGTTTGCCTAAAGTACAGAAAAGGGAATTCTATGGAGATGTGAGAGAGACCCCACTGACACCCTGCACACTGGTGGATGGTGAGCTTCATAGACTCTAAAGAGAACAGAAGCCAACAAGGCTTATGCTAATCTCTCAGGAGGTCAGACTCCAAGTACCATAGACAATGAAGGGGATGTCTGAGGACCCTCAGGCACAACCACAGGAGGATGTCAGATAGTGGGGTTCCCTGGACCAGTCCAGTAGTTGGATGGGGAGCCAAAGCAGCTCGTTTCCTTCTCATGTGACTGTTCAAGCCAATGCGCTGGCACAGCTGTCACCAGTGTGTTGACAAGGCTTCATTTGGGAGATGCATCGTGGGGGGAGGGCATGGCATTGCTATGACCCTGCACTAGCTGCACCTAGGGTGCCCACTGACAGCTTGCTCTCTTCAGGCAGAGGCAGACTGCCTTGATGTTCTGGAAAAGTACCGAGGGAAGTGCGAGCCAACCTTTCTGTTTTATGCAGTAAGTATCTTCTCAGATACAGAACAGTTTTTTGACTGTGGATCACTGGGGTTCGGATAGACGAATCAGGTCTCAGGAGCCACCATGGGGCCTCAGCCAACTGACTCACTCTGTTCATGAAGAACTTCCCTAGGACATGGGCAAGCACAGATGTGCTCGTTCCTGCCTGTGGGCCCTGTTCCACAGGAGATGAAACCCTCAGCTCCATGGTGGCTGCTGGTGGCTGGACAGCCCTCCTAGGTGACTGTGCATGGCAAAGGACACACATGTCCTAGAATGCACGTTTGGCTTGGCTGATGGACACCCTAGATTGTAGCTCTACTCTCAGAGCACGGTTTCGAGATTTCTCTTCTCTGCCGAGGGGAACTTTTAGTGGAAATGAATACATTATATAGGGAGAAGCTATGTGCTTGCCTAGATAACCACAGTATGAAAAAGCAAGAAAGCTCCCAGGGAACCAAAAGATTCTGTGGTGACAGGTGACGTGGATGTCTTTGGATGTGCCATCCATGACCAGCTCCTGTTTCTTAGTGCCTACAGTTGCATTCCTTTGTTCTCAGGTTGAGGCTGCCGGCCAGACCCAGGCAGCAACTGGTGGATTTGCTGATTCAGACTCAGCCCTGCCTACTCATGGTAGTCAGGGAAACCAGGGTCCACTCTTCCAGGACCCCTGACAGCCAGAGCTGGGTGATTTAGTTCATCTCTTAGCATCTGCACCATGAGTGCCACACACTAGAGACTTATTTTAATTATTTGTTAGATTTCTATTTATCTTTCCTGTGTGTGTGTGTGTGCACGCACGTGTGCTACAGCACTCATGTGCAGATCAGATGACAGCTGGTTCTCTCCTCCTACCACGTGGGTCCTGGGGATGATGGAACTCGAATCATCGCCCTTGGTGAGAAGCATCTTTACCTACTGAGCCATCTTGCCAGCCCCACATTAACAACTTGGGCTAAGATACCACCTGAGCTTTGTCTTTCAGGAGGGAGACCCAGCTTCTGGGATGGCTATATGGCTGTGGTTGGCGGGAGAAAGAATGTTGGGCAGGAAGGAGACGGTCATGTCCATCCAGCCACGCTGCCCTCAGAGCTGTCATGGAGCACACTCGTGATCAAAGCCATTTGATTGCTTAGGCCAATGGTGGTTAAAACAACAATCATCTGTGGGGATTCAGGCCACAGTCTCCAACCCATGGCAGTTCACAGAGGGATGGAGAGAGATGGAATCAGGGCCACCGTACAGGAGCTTCTCTTCAGACTCATTTCTCAGTGATGTACATAGAGAAAGCAAGAGCCGAAAACTCAGGTGCACACTGAGCACGACCACTGTGAAAAAGTCTTCCCTGACTACCACAGCCCACACTGTGAATTCCTTCTTCCACATTCATGTTCGTGAGCTTCAGACAGAGTCCCCTATTACTGCAGTCATTGTTTAATGTGTTTGGAGTGACCACGCCACTGCACATTCACTGAGGTGTTGTGTCTTTCTAAGGTTAGCGGTTATATTCTGTGCCTCACCCTGAGTGCTCGGTATAGTAAGAGCTCAACAAATATTTGTTAATAAGCCACCTATAAGTCACATTTAGCCACACAATCCTCTGTGGATTGTTCCTCCCTTAACTAACTCCTGGCTGCCCTGAAGGGAGCTTTGACAAGAGAGACGTCAGGGAGAAGGTGGAGATCAGGGAGAAATCGTTTGAAGAGCTAAGAGCTAAATTGAGGGCCTCACCTGGGATGGGCCTCAGCAACTAGCAGCTGGGGTGAGGGCGGAGGATGTGGGCCTAGGGTTGATGGACCTTGACCAGAGGCACAGCCTCCTGAAAGTGATGACCAGCTGTGAGGAGGATTTCACGTGGCCTGTCACATTCCAGAGAGGAGAACTGGTGGCCGTGGTGAAGGGAGCCAACCCCATCCTGCTTCAGAAGACCATCCTACGGCAGCTGGAGGTTGAAAAGAAAGTTCTAGCTGAAGGCCGGGAATGGAACATGGTAAGTGGAGGTCGCCTGTCCAACTGGCGGGCTCACAAGAACGCTCACACGGGACCCCCTCTCCATGTGGACCTGGGCCTTTTCTTCACCCAGGGCTTTGGGGGTGGTGGTGTACAGTTAGAAGTCTCTCAGGAGTGATCCTATTTCCTCTCCAGAGTCCCTGGAATGTCTCCCATCCATTTCTCCTTTCAGTGACAACTAAACTCTTAGGAAAGACTTCAGGGATGGAGAAGAATCAACAGAACTGAGTAGTGACTTCGGCAGCCTTTTGATTCCATAACAAAATACTTGAGGCCATTGATTTTTTTTTTAAGATGAAAAGGTTCATTTTGGCTCACACCTTAGGCTTTGGTCCATGGCCAGTTAGGTCTGCTGATTTTGAGCCCTTGTCAAGATAGCCCGTGGGGAAGGCTGCTGGTCCCAGTGGGTCAGTCACCTTCACGTTCACTCCCTTAGTGACCTTTAGAGTCCATCTCTCTAGGTTCTTCACCTTCCCAGGGTGAGTTTAAGATCTGGGCTTTCAGAGGGGTCAAAAACACCACAAGAAGACCCTCAGAATCAACCAACTTTGGCTTATAGGGGCTCACAAAGACTGGACCACCAATCAGGGAGCCTGCATGAGACCGTCTTGGTCTTCTCATAGGACTCCTAACAGTGGGAGCAGGGACTGCCTCTGACTCTTTCGTCTGCTTTAGAGACCCTTTCCTCCTATTGGGTTGGCTGGTCTAACCTCAATACAAGGAGAAAGGGGAGGTGCCTAGTCTTACTGTAACTTGCTATGCCATGTTTGGTTGCTATCCATGGGAGGCCTGTCCTTTTTCTGAAGAGAAACAGAGGAGTGATGAGACGTGGGGACAGAGGAAAGACTTCGGGAGAGAAGAGAGAAGCAACTATGGTCAAGATGCAAAAAAGAAAGAAGATAAATGTAGTTATAAAAATAAATATCTGATTAAAAAAAACATAGGCTTTTGAGGAAAACCTAAAATACAACAAATTATAGGAGGGCCCTCCCCCAGCCTCATGGTGAAATGTTTCCCAGTGACACACACTCAGATTCCTACAGTTCTTTAAGCCATTTCCTTAGTGTAGAAATTTAGCTCTTTGATTACCATGGCAGGATCAGCATACCTTGTGGCTTTGAGAAACCATGCCCACAGTAATACAGACTGCGCCATCATCACAGCTAACTGGCAGTCTTTTAAACGTCTATGCAGCATAGGCGTAGGGAGGTATTTCCAGGCACTTTGTGCATCTGCTGAGAGTCCAGCACCCCACCCTTGGGTGTTCATTGTCCATGCTTTCACACTGAGTTCCAAAGAGCACAGCCCCTTTCTAGAACATACAGAATCAGGTCATACTTCCATGTTTCTAAGGATACTGGCCATATTCCCTACGAAGGAAAACCACAGGCTCACACTGCCATAGAAAATAGGCTGTCCCTTGAGTTCTCTGCACTGGATGGCTCATCCCTTGTATTTGAATGCCAACTGTCTTAATTAGGGTTTTACTGCTGTGAGAAGATACCATGACCAAGGCAACTCTTATAAGAACAACATTTAGTTGGGGCTGGCTTACAGGTTCAGAGGTTCAGTTCATTATCATCAAGGCAGGAACATGGCAAAATCCAGGCAGGCATGGTGCTGGAGGAGCTGAGAGTTCTACATCTTCATCCGAAGGCTACTAGCAGAATACTAGCTTCCAGGCAACTAGGATGAGTGTCTTAAAGCCTATACCCATAGTGACACACCATCACACCAACTGTCCATTCTTTATTGTTCCTTAGTCTCTACTTGCACTGGGTTAAGAGGCAGACTCTAAAACTCAAGACCAGCAAGGATTCCACCCCCAACCCCACACACAGTACTAAAAAGGCCCTTGTTGCCCAAACTCTGATCACCTGTCCTCATCCCCAAGGCTTACTGTGCTCCATGTTTTGAACCTCTGTATTTTGATGCTGTTTTCTGAAGATGTCAAAAGTCTTCACAATAACTTGCGTTGGCTGAGTGCTTTCTCTCAGTGACTGATTTGTCTTAGGTTACTGATGAGGATCTTTTGGGTGTAGCCAAGTGGCCTCCTCGCAAAAAGGATGGTGGCAACGATGGGGACATAGGTAAGTGTAGACCTGATGAGCAACTTGTTGTGCATTTTAAGCAAGAGAATCGCCAGGCTATTGGGCCATCTCAGTTCTGGGAAGCTAGCCATGAGCATTTTGTCTTCAATCACTTGGCTTCAGACAAATGGTATCAGATCTCCCTTTGCCCATTGGTGGCATCATAGGTACATTTGACAGCTGTCTGATGATACTCAAATATGACTTGGGTGGCAATCACTGGCCATCAGGAAATGATCCTTCTAGAAATTTCAGTAATAGTGGAGAAGAGGAGAAATGAATTCTGTCTGAGCTGGAGAGTTCAGGTTTCCCTTACTGTCTCCCTCTAAAACGCCAGAAGCCGTCCCTTCCACAGCCTCACATCCTCTGATAACAGCGCCACCCACTCTCTCCTTCATTCTCTAGCTGCTATCAGCCATAAGTCTCATAGGCACTGCGCTGTGTCCCTTCCTGAGCCTTCCTATGAGAAGAGTGGCCCAGCTGCATTTGAGGACCAGAGAGTTAGGCAGGCTGCCGCTGGGAAGATGTCTTGCATTAACAGCCAAGATGCTAGGCCAAGATGCCAGGGAACCAGGACTGGATACAGCTGGTGGAGGGAAGCTCGAGATACACGGCTGTTTCTCATGGGTGCACAGTAAGGACCAGTGGGATCAGAATCTGACAGGCATGGCTTAGGAAAGCCAGGGAACCATGGAGAAGACCAACTGCCATTTTTGGCTCTCACAGGAAATAGCCTTTCTATACTATTGCCTCTTCTTTCCTCTGTTCTATCCTCCGCGGTCAAGTCTCTTTGACCCAGAACACCACATGAAACCCTTTCTCTTCCTCTTAGCTAAGATTTGTGAACTTTGTTCACATCTTGGGGCCACCCCTCACCTCCACTCCTGCTGACCTGCTGTGGCCTGGCCCTGAACTGCTCCTCAAAGGACACTCCTGAAAGGTTCACCCTGCTGACAAAGGCCACAGTCTCCTTTTTTGTCTGTTTTTTAAAAATTTATTTATTTATTTATTTATTTATTTATTTATTTATTTAATGTATGAGTACACTGTTGCTCTCTTCAGACACACCAGAAGAGGGCGCCAGATCCCACTACAGATGGTTGTAAGCCACCATGTGGTTTCTGGGCATTGAACTCAGGAACTCTGGAGGAGCAGTCAGTGCTCTTAATACTGGGCCAGCTGTCCAGCCACGGCCACAGTCTCTTGAATCAGAAAAAGCTGATATTCATTGTTCCCATGTGCCTTCCTTCTCAATGCCCCATTATCTATCTCTCTCTCTCTCTCTCTCTCTCTCTCTCTCTCTCTCTCTCTCTCTCTCTGTGTGTGTGTGTGTGTGTGTGTGTGTGTGTTGGGAGACAGAACTCAGGCCCTCATACTTGCTAGGCCAATGTTTCAACCTCTGAGCTACAGCTCAAGTCCCCTCTATCCAGCTTCTGAGATAACATCTTTCTCTTTCTCTGGCCTCTTTTCCTGGGTTCTGTCCTTTGAACTGAAATTTGAAGATGAGGCCTGCAAGGGACTCGCCTTTTCTCCCTCTACCCTTTAGGTGATCTCATGAGCCCACCACTTCAACACAGACTCAGTCATAGGAATGCCTTAACATCAAGTGTCCCCAGCTTATCAGAAATGGCAGCCATAGAAAAATGAACAGGCTGTTGCTTAGGGTGACATAAACCATGCAAGTCAGCTTTTGCCACCATTCAGGATACTAGGGATAATCATCTTATACGGGCAAGATATTTCCTTTGCTCAAGAGTTCTGGGGGCTTCCACCCAAGATCAGCTGGTCCAGAGGCTTTAGAGCAGCTCCAGGAACACACAGTTGAGCAGTTACCTCACAGCCAGGAAGCAAAGATGCAAGAGTGCCACCACCTGCCTGTCAGGAGGCCCCATCTTTCAAGAGTTCAGCCACCTCCCAACAAGGCCACAGGCTGGGGACCAAGGGTCCTTAGGCAACATTTGTTCAATGGATAACATATATCTATTTAGTGCAGGCTTTACAGATAGATAGTCCCAGTAGAAACCTTCCTTAGATAATGATAGTTTTGTTTCATGGTGGCATGGCAGAAATAAAGGTTGAGAAGCAGAAAATAGATGGTGGGAAATGTTGACTCTGTAGAGGATGCAGATAAGTTACCAAGGGCAAGTTCCTGTCCATAGGAGCCCAATAGAGATGGGCTCCTGAACTACATAAATTGCTCCCTACAGAATTCCCATAGCTTGGATGTAGGTGGCCTCTGATTATCAAGGCTGACCCCAAGCCTGTCAAAATTAAAGCTAAAACTGAAACAAACTAAAAAGGCCCAAGATGCTCTGTCTGAACTCCTTCTCGCAGGAAACCTGAAGGGGCACAGAGGGGTTTAAAGCTGTGATTTGGTAGCCTGTGCTACAGTTAAGAAGCACAAAATTCAGATGCAGGGCTCGGAGAAACTATTTCTGTCACACGCAAGAAAGGCCAAACCGGAAGGAGACTGTAGAGTGGCTCAGCAGTTAGGAGCACTGGCTGCTCTTCCAGAGGACTCAGCTTCTTCCCCAGCACTCACGACTGTCTGTAACTTGAGTCACAGGGGATCCAGTGCCTTCTTGGGCCTCCGTGGGTGCTGTATGGCCATGGTACACAGGCATACATGTAGGAAAGATATCCATACAGATAAATTTATTTTGCAGAAGCAAAGGAATCAGGAGAACAAGAAGACAGCAGTTAAACCTGAGGACCACAAGAGGGGGATAGGAAGGCCTGAGGGTGGCCAGGCCTGTTACCTCTGCTCCTGTGTTCCTTGTTCAACCCGTCTCCAGGCAGCTCATTCAGTCATTCTAAGTTTGCTTCTCCCAGACCAGAGAGTTCAGAGAGTTAGACTCTGCCCACCAAAGTCAGGCTGGGGCTTCTGGCTGTGGTCTAGTGCCAGGTTGGTGCCATTCCCTAGAGTCTGAGTCTATGGAGACCTGGGGCCCAAGCCTATACCTGGTACTTGCTGCAATGGAGCCGGCATAGAAACAACACTGTCCCTGCAAATAGCTTCCCAACCATCTGACAGCACTCCCCTGGTTAATTTCAGCGTCATCAGGAAAGACCTGTACATTAGGCATCATTAAGCCAGATGCAGTGGCCCACGGGAAGGCTGATGAGATCATCATGAAGGTGGGAGGCACATGACGTACTTTGCATAACTGTCCTCGGGTCCCCTGCAGTAGATGCACAGGGATTGGGGGGGGGCAGCAGGAGCTGTGGTGCACCAAGGAAAGAAGACTTCTGATGAGTTCTAACTCAGATTCTATTCAAGGTTCGACAGTGTTAGATCCGGGGGTGGGTGCTCAGGGTGCTAAGGACCTGTATTGCTTTTCTTTTTATCTTTCCATTAAGATCACTGCAAACGTGGCCTGGAGTCACATTGGCAGAATACACAATTTTATGTATGCATGTGTGTGTATATAAATATATAAATATATTTGTTGTGTGTGTATGTATGTGTGTGTATATATATATATATATATATATATATATATATATATATATATATATGATATATCTTCTGCAGATTCAGGAAGCAGGATTTGACATACTATTAAACGAAGAGAGAACCCTGACAGAGGCAGAAGTGCAAGCGTTTTATCAACAAGCCAGAGAGGTCAGCTCATTGGCTTCTATTGGCCCACCTCCTTTTCTCCTCTTTCCTCCTCCAACACTCTGGTGATAGGTTGATAGAAGCTCGGGGCAAATAACATGAAGAACAAGAACACGAACAGCAGGTGGGTGGGTAATGGATTTGCAACTCAGAATGTGATCAGAGCCTGTACCACTCAAGTGCCATGGCTGCCAGGAAACTATTTAACAGTCAGCAATGGAATAAAGATGTTAATTAGAAGGATGCCCCATAACTCCCAGAACTGATGGCACAGAATGAAAAGGGTTAACAAAGAGGCTTGGAGAGACGAGGAACCAAGAAAAGTCTAGGGCCCACAGGCGCCAAAGCCTTAGGCAAACCACTCAAGACGTCACCACCTGCCACTTAAGGTCCACTTGCTTTTTCTGCTGGTTCTGCTTCTGCTTTGCCTACTTGGGGAGTATGGCCGACGGCTTGTGGGCCATAGCACCACTTTCTAGGTCAGAGGTGTGATAGCTGCTAAGCATCATGGTTGTGAAATGAGGAACAAGTGAAATGGAGGAAGGGGTCTTCCCGAAAGGATACTCGCAGCACTGGTATTGAAGGAGAAGGGCCACAGGGCATGGGGAGGAGTGGTGCCATCTACACTGTGCCCTTGGAGACCCAACACCCACATATTACGTATCCAAACATATTCTTCTAGCAGGCCACTACCCAACTTAACTCATGTCCCACCATGGCTGACCTTCCTGAGGTCCTGGGGCATGGCTGGTCCTCATTACCACAAGCAGGCAGAGGTGGCCAGGTCATGGCTGAGTGTCCACGAGCTCACAAGGCTGCTTACTAACTCTCCCTTCCAGTACGTGGGTCGTCTGGGTGCACTGGCCTGCTTCAGGTCTCAGTAGCTCCCACCCCAAGTCACTGATTTCTTCCCTGTGCCTAGGAGGCATTTGAGAAGCTAATCCATCACATGTGCAGTGGACCCAGCCACCTCTTGATCATCACCAAGACTGAGGGCACCGAGGATGTAGTCACTGCTTGGCGAACCTTCCTGGGACCTTGTGACCCTAATGTGGCCAGAAGGGAACATCCTGAAAGGTGACAACAGCTGTAGTCCTTTCAAATACCTCAAGCTTGGTTGAGAATCAGGGGTGATACTGCCAGCTCTCTGGTAGCCAGGAGGCACCTTTCTATATATCTGGGAAATTTTTGACATCTTCCTACTCCCCAACATGGGATCTCCCCCGCCCCATGCTTTCTAAAGGCTGCTGCTAAGTTTGGCTCAGGCACAGGTCTCAGGGACCCAGTCTAGCCTGCCAAGCCAAAGGCAGCAGTACCACCTGACCTGTGGACTCATCTCCCAGAGCCACAGCTGTCTGGAGTCATCTTCCTGTTCAGCGCACCTACCTAGACCTGCTCAGCCTGCTCTGTGACTCAGTGAGCAGCTAGCCTGGAGTCAACTGAACCAAATACATGGGTCCTGGCTTTTGAAGCTGACAGAGCCATGGTCAGACAACAAGAGAGAACTTAGCAAAACAAACAAACAAACAAACAAACAAACAAATCCCAAAGCTCTAGAGCTGTACTTTGCAGTCCTGAGGGAGAAGAGTGTGTAAGAAGCAACAGGGTTAAGCAAAGTGGCCAAGGGCTCAGACCTTAGGTTCCCACCTAAAGGGTCAAGTCCCTCCTCAGCTTCTGCTCAGTTCAGTTCACTTCCCTAGGCTGTAAAGCAAGACTATCCACCCTCAGGCAGACAGACATATTTATAGAGGTTCTCAGCACATAGATCCTACCTAGCTCAACCAGGGTTATGGTTCTTATCAAGATCAGTCATAAAGCTGCATGACGTGATGCAAGGTGCTAGAACTCGGCAGTGACCCAACACAGTGGGAATTGTAGTTTCTCTCTGGGCAGAAGTGAGATGAAGCCGGACCCTGTGTCTAACAGCCCTGGGCAGCAGCTGCTGGCATGGCGACTGTTCTCCGGTTCTCTACAAAGAGCAAAGCAGTCTTGTGCTAATTGGTAGCTGGTGGTCCTGCTACCAGAGAGCAAAGCATTTCTCTTCAAGTGAAACAATTGTTTCTTTTACAATGTACCAACGCTCCTAGTCTCCGGGCTCAGTATGGCACAGAAATGCCTTTTAATGCTGTGCATGGAAGCCGGGACAGAGAGGACGCCAACAGAGAGCTGGCCCTGCTCTTCCCCAGTTTCAAGTTTGCAGATAAAGACATGGAAGGGCCACAGGGTAAGTTGACAAGGCAGCTTTCTTTATTAAATCTGAGGTGAAAGCCATTTAATGATTGTGTGTGAAACTCATGACTTGCCTCCTAATTAGCCAATAAGTCCTGTTCTGAAACACAGGTCACCATGAAACTGGCGTCAGCATTAAGCCTCACAGAGCAGAGGGCTGCTTTTTAATACCACACTGGGCCTCCCCCCCGCCACCCCACCCCCGCTTATTGTGGAGTCCTAGATCCACTAGTAAGACACTTTGCCTTTCTTTCTGCAAACCACGGGGAAAATCCCATGACTTTAAACAAATTAAAAGTTTATTTGTATACTTTCACATATGCGTCCTTTGCACACTGACACCCCCCACCCACTTTCCCTTCCCCACAAATCTCTCTCCAGTGTTCCTTTCCTGTCTGCTCATTTTGTTTTGCCATCCACCAAGATTAACCAGGGCCATCTGTGGATCATGGGTTCGAAGCTATCTGTTAGCGAATGCCTGGAGGACTCAGAGAGTACACCACACTAAAGACAGTGATTCCCTCTCTCGAGGGATCTACTGACAGTCGGGAGTTTAGAGGTAAAGATCGGAACCTCATGAAGTTGACCTCGTGAGGGCCCAGTGCAGGTAATGCAGCTGATGCAAGCTAATGATTACAGCAGTTTTAGGGCATGGAGCCTTTTGGGCCTCTCTTTCACGACATTCCCAGAGCCCTAGAGGGGGTGGTATATGATTTACCTAGGGCTGGGCCCACTCCTGTCACTCACATTCTGCATCCCGGGCAGCCATGAATCTTTATTCACTGTTGTCAGGAGAGGTTTCTGATTAAGGTTGAATAGTGGCACCTTTGTCTATTGGTCTCAGCACTGGTACTCAGAAGGCAGTTATTAATAATTCAGTTTAGTTAACCATGAGAAATACACTCCCCTCACAGGCCTACTTCTCCCCAGACCTGGGTTGTTAGCTAGGCCACCAGGCACTGGTCCTATCCTCTTGGAGAGGGGCTTAAAGCCATGCAGATGGTTCATGACCATTCTATCAGCCGTCAAGCTGCTGCTGAGGACTTGGGCACACATTGCTCTTTAATGGCTGGCTTCTTCGTACTTGACGATGTTAATCCTCTGCCCATCCCAGACCCTCATCTCCCCAATCTCAAGGCCTCCTTCTCTGCCTAAACCTTTCCGCTCATGCTGGCCCCCCTTCTATTTAATTATATTATACTGTATGCTTTGCCTTAAGGTAATCCTTGCCTCACACCGCCTTACTTCCCCGCTTTCACTGTCCATGTGCTACAAACTGTACTAAACAGTGGACACTGTGGTCCCTGTTGAGAGCACATGGCATTTGTCCATGTGGACCTGGATTACCTTAATTTTCTCCGATCCTAACCTTTTCCTTGGAGACTTCAGTTTTCTTTAGAGCCGAGCAATATTCCACTGTGTATGTACAAACCTTTATTATTCATCAGCTGCTTCCATCTCTTAGCCACTGTGAATAGCGCAGTAATGAACAAGGGCTCTTATCCCTGTCATAGGGCCTAGAATCCTTTGCGTCCGTGCCCAGGAGTGGTACGGTTTATTTTTTGTTTTTGTTTTGTTTTTTGAGAACCATTCAGACGGATTTCCAGAGTGGCTGCCATAGTTGACGTTCCTGTCAACAGCGTACAACGGTTTCTGTCCCCACATCTGCTCCACCATTTGTTATTAGTTGCTACTGGTGTTCTCAAAAGCCAGTCTGTTGGTGTGAGATGAAATCTTAAAGTGGTTTTAGTCTGCATTTCTTTAATGGTTAAGTTTGTCAAGCACCTTTAAAAGTGAGACTTCAGTAACTTTCTGAGACTTATTCAAAGTCAGATGTTCTTTTCTTGTCCCCGGGCCCTCTGTTTCCCTGACAGGCTTGCTGAGAAACCAGACTGCACAGAAGGGCTCCTTCTAGAGCCTGCTGTGGCCTCCTGCCCTTCAGCCCATATTAGAGTGGGCTATGAAGGCTATCTCTATCTATCCCTCCATAGGAGACACAGTGCTTGGGCAAGATGGGCCAGGCTATCACCTTTTCCAGATAAGTGTAAGAAACCAGAGTCCAAGGTGCACAGAACACTGATTCTGTAATTAGCCCAAGAACTGGGTCTGGCTAGCACTGAGGCTACAGTGAGCGAAAGAGGGCAAAATGAACAGTCTAGGAAAAGCCCAAGATTGTGAAGGTTAGTTTCTTAAGAGGAGGGAAGTTGGGTGGTGGTAGTAGCCTTTAATCCCAGCACTTGGAATGCAGAGGGAGGTGTCTGAGTTCAAGGCCAGCCTGGTCTATGGAGTGAGTTCTAGGATGGCCAGGGCTACACAAAGAAACCTTGTCTCAAAAAACAAAAAACAAAACAAAAACAAAAAAAAAGAGGAGGCTGCAACACAGATCCAGTGTTTCTTGCCTGTGCTTAGATTTTAACCCATGTATTTGCCTAAATGTTTGCTGTGCTTAGGGTACCAAGATCTAAAACTCAGGATGTCAGAATGGGTAGGGTGGGAGTTGAGGAACACGCTGGGAGCACCAGTTCAGGGAGCCAGGAAACCCCGGGGAGTATGGCTCTGTGGGGGGCCCTGAGACCCAAGTTCACACAGCCAAGCACATGTGTCCTTTGGTCCTCTCACTTTGGTGGACAGCCCTGCCAGGCCAGCTTCCTTCAGAGCCCATGATACATCTTTGTCCATTCTGGGGCATGACTGGAAGCATAAAGGTGTAAATCTGGACCAGCCTAGGGTAGGTGGAAGTGAACTGGCTGGAAAGAGCCGACCAGGGTTCCTGGGGGGTGCTGGAGATCTGGGATCTGACATTTTGGCCTCAGCTGATAGAGCGATGGGGATGGATCTAGAAGGGACTGAGCCCAGATCACAGATGGCTTCTGTGATGCAGCCTCAGTGGGAAGAGGATGCACCTTCACTTACTCAGCACCCCACCCCCACCTCACCCCCATTCTGGCCTCTGGAGATACATCCTGTCTCCACTGACCATCAGCTGAACAGCTTCTGGAACTTACCTTCGCTGGGACCATTTCTTCTTGTGTAAAATGGAGACAATGATATGACCATTAAAACCCCCAAACCACCATCTTCCTCACAGTTGTGAAGATGAAAAGAGACAGGACAGAAAGAGCTAACCTGTAACTGACCAACCAGAATTGTTCATTCTTACAATCCTGTAATCATCCCTCCTAACACACCCATGAGGAATCCCCTGGCTATCTCACCTGCCAACAAATTCCAGCTGTGATCTCTGTTTGTTTGTTTTGGGGGGAGGTGGTGGCAGGAGGTCTGGCTGTTTAAGGGGTGTTATAGAACAATGTTACCTGCCCCCCCCCAGGTGCTGAGGCTCAAACTATGGTGGGGCCTGTGGAGGACCTTTGCATCTGAGTGTATCTGATGATTGGGTTGTCTTCTGCCAGAATCAAGGTCACGAGGCCACAAGAGGAGTCATTGGTACATAGAGGGACCCGCAGATGACGATTTCAGGGCACAGATGTGTTCTTGGTTTAACCCTATTTTGTGGACAATGAAAACAACTGTCCATACTTCCCTGCCTTATTAAATAAATAGTCTGTAGAACATACCCTACTCTCTAGTCACTGTAGTCTGCTGAGGCATGGTGTCACCTCAGAAGACACTGAGTCTCTTCAACAATAAATCTACTGCTTTGATCTTAGCTTGGTACCTTAAAAACATTTATTACTGGTGTATGTGTGTGGTGCGTGCACAACTTAAGGAAGTCAACTGTCTCTTTCCACCACATGGAACCTGGGTATCTAGAAGTCATCAGGCATGCTGCAGGAACCTTACCTGCTGGGCCATCTCGGCAGCCTCAACTCAGTAACCCAAGGATCTGAAATTAGCTTGATAGTTATGACACTGCCACCTACCGCCACAGAACAGGCATCAACTGGCTTCGGTGCTGCCTGTTACCTTCAGGTTGCAAGGGCAGTCACTAATGGTGGAGTTCACCACACAATGGGGCACGTTCCTAATGAGTACTTGACTATTTCTTAGGCTTCTGATTGGGCTGAAGCCCAGTTTTAAGACCTGACCATGTGTTCCTGTGGGGCCAGGCAGCCTTCAGTTTTCACTGAGTTGCTGACTCAGCTGCCCTTCTTCTGAGGGATTTAAGGTTTCAATAAAGAGGCATTTAGGACCCTGTGACGTTACCATACATACATGGCTATCCACAACCACCCCGCTCTTGCATTATCTGTGAGCTGGCCCAGCCCAGGCACCTCCACTCAGGAAAGGCTGTGCTCTTCCACACCATGAGGAAAATGCCTACACCCTCTTGCTGGTCTTCTCTAGAGGAGTTCACGCCTGTGGCTGCAGGCTCTCAGTGGGCAGTCTGCTCTCAGAAGCCAGCTCTTCACTGAGGGAATTATGTTCTGTCTAAGAACTCTGTTGAGCACTCTGTTGGTTCTGAAAAGGATGGGGCAGGCTTTTATGAAAAAGGCATGAAACATGGTGCAAAGCTCCATGATCTTAGGTCACCTCTGATGTATACTCCCCTGATATTCCTCAGGCTGTCCCGGGCTCCCTTGTGACACTGTGTGCTACAGTTAGGATCCACTCTTCCAAACCCCAGGCACGTGGAGCACAGTGAGGCCATGCTCTTTTTGTGTATGAGCTTGAGAGGCCTACCATGTTATGGTTTCTCCACACCACAGGCAGCAGCACAGCTCCAGACTACCTGTAGGAAGGAGTGCACCCACATGGTAGCTACTCCATCTCCCCAAAGTCAGGATGCCAGGGTGCTCATCTCTGGCAAGAGGAGTGCTGGAGCAGTTAAGGTCTTTAAAAGCTAGGAAAGAAGGAAGAGTGGGTGGGGTGGGTCTGAGCGTGAGAAGGTTGCTATAGCCACCTGAGCCCCTCTCAGGAGGTAGCTGCACAGTGGAGCTCAATGCAGTGATGGTGACACACTCCTTTACTGCTTTGGCCTTGAGAATGTTGTAGCTCAGCCTTGTGTTGTTTTGAAGAATCCGTAAGATTCACAGCTTAATAATGGAGTTTGGCAGCCGGGCAGTGGTGGCACACGCCTTTAATCCCAGCACTTGGGAGGCAGAGGCAGGCGGATTTCTGACTTCAAGAGTTCGAAGCTAGCCTGGTCTACAGAGTGAGTTCCAGGGCAGCCAGGGCTACACAGAGAAACCCTGTCTCGAAAAAACCAAAATAAATAAATAAAAAATAAAAAATAACAATGGAGTTTGGCAAGAGGCTCCAGTGAGCGGCTGTTGATGTAGGGCCACTCTCTGGGAACAGCACTCTTAGAAGGGACCATTCTTTGGCTTGTAACTCTTCCCTAACAGAAATCAGCCAAAGGCAGCTTCTGGAACAGACGTTTTGGAACTCTCATTTCCTCTGTTCAAGGAAGGTGGTAAAGGGCTGGCTCTACTCTAAGGGCTGACTGTGGCCTGCCCTCTCCCTGAGTGCCCCACTGCCTGGCAAAACCAAGCTGGATCCTGGAGCTGCAGAGACAGTCGGTGGCACTGTCATCTACACCATGGCCCGTACAGTCCCCTCAGCTTTCCTTGAGGATGGGATCTGAGGAAAAACATGGTTCACGAAAAAGAAGAAGCCTCTGATCAGAGATGAGGGGATGGCAGGGGCAGGGCAAGGTGCCAGACCTACCCCAGTTAGCAGGTGTTGGACCACTTTTGCTGGGTCTCTCCAGAGACCTGGAGTGTCAGTGTCCCCTTCCTTAGGCCTTGCACATTTTCTCTAGGGAACTTATAAAAGAAAAGGGGGCCACTTGGCCATCCATCTATGGTCACTTTGAGTACCCCAGAGACTCACGCCACCAAAATTCTCATCCCTTAACACCGACCTCATTGTCTTCCTCTTCTGTCCTTATGCTCTGGGGCAGGTACCCCTGGCTTTCTATTTCTATCAAGGCCTTGAACTGGGAGCTGTGGTGAGGGTTAGATTCAGGGGGCAACACAGTAAGGAAGTGGGGAAGGAACACCTGTGTGTCCCTCCAGAGGACAGCAGTTGGTCAACTGTCAAACTCAGTCTTGCTTAGCAGGTGGTGGCAATGGTGATAAAGGGTGGGTGAAGGAGGAGAGACAACATAGCAGGCTGGAGATGGGTCTTGGTGGCTGGGAATGGGCACCTAGAGTCTGCAGGCCCTTCCAGGGGCCAGAGAGAGGAGCCCTCAGATCAATTCAGGTGCCTTTGAGAGAGCCAACACTGGTGAGGTATTGGCCTCCAGTCCACAATGCAAAAACCATCTCACAGTCCTTCATTTACACAAACCACAGCCTCTCAGAGCGGTCCATATTCTCTTCCGCCATTTCCTAATGTTCCAGTCACTTGGAAAACAGACTCCTTTAAAGAAGTTGCCATGACTTTTCTTGGCTTTTATTAGCATGTGTTAAAATCATATTATCCAAACACTACCAGAAGAACATGTATTGTTCTGAATAAAGTGCTTAAGGAAAAAAAATGCAACTTATTAAATTTGACATTCTTTTCTAGTTTATAAATTTTGGGTTACAATCAGGGCACAAAAGAAGAAACAGAATGCAGTATTGGAGGCAGAAGCTTCATTAAGTACTTGGGTGTAGACATACGACCACGCCCCACTCTCCCCACTTCCTTACTGACCAAATACTGCACCTGCCTAAAGCAGCAAACAGCTTTGTTTTAATAAATACATTTCCCTTCATTCAAATCAGAACAATTAATTATAGTAAAGCACTTTTTATGTGACCACTGCTTATACCCACAGGCGAGATTTATCCACAGAGTTCAAGGGGTCTTCAGCCCTCTCATGCTATTTGGGTTCACGATTGTCTCAGCAACGTGTTATTGGTTTCTTTATATTTACTGGTACTTTCTAAAACTGGTGCTGAAGCATCTTGTTGCAAAACGCTATCTATTGAAGGGTGCAGTCTCAACACCAGCAGCGGCAATAAGTGGCCCGGGGAAGGCTTCATTCCCAGGTGTTCTCACATTAGCACTCTGATGTCTACACAAAACCCAAGTTCTGTTGTGACAGCTTATTTAAAGTCAGTAATGTTCTGGAAAAAACAACTTGGAAATCTCTGTGTTTGTATCTTGGGTGGCCATATGGAGAACAGGAAGCATTGCATTAAATACAACATTTTAAAAACATTCATTTGCAATCAACCATAGTTAAGTCTTCCGAGGAAGGTGGAGGCTGGTGACAGACCAGCTCTCAGGGGGGCAGCCCTGTCAGAAGGTGGGAGGGTGTGGGCCCCAGGAGCTACACACACTGTCTGCCATGCCTCCAACCTCCTGGTCAAAGGAAGGAAGGCTGTTTGTTCCTACCTCTGTTGAGTTCAATTTGAAGGGACCAGAAGTTAAAGCAGATGCTCCCCTACCCCGCCCAAAAGGCATTTCAGTCATTACAGGGAGATTCTCCTCCCTTTTCTCAACATGAAGTATTTTAGCTTCATTCAGGAAAAGACTTCCTATTTCATTCTAGGTAAGCGCATCACCCGGCAGTCCCCCACTACTGCATGGCCTTTTTCTGGAACACTTAAGAAGCAGCTTCTTTTTAGGACATGTTTGCAGAACAAGCTAGTCTCCTAGCAACACACGAAGATGCAGGAAGCATCCGGTGATCTGGATTGTTTCCAGGAAGTGGCAACCTGCTCTCCAGGTTTGCTTTGAGACCCAGACAGATACTGCCATACTAACGATAGGATTTAGGGATGCTAGGAGGCTTTCGGTCCCCAGTCCTGTCAAAGCCAGCCCACCTGGTCCTCGCTAGGCTTCTACTACCAGCCTCTCTCTCCCTTTGATGTTTCAAAACCTACAGTGACCGTTTCTTACATTGCTCCATTCTACCATCCTTCTGACTTGGAAGCCTGAGAACTTATTGAATTAGGCTAGAAAAAACAAAACAAAATAAAACAAAACCCAAAGGCTTTGTACCTGCTAATATTGATGGCAGCAAGATGCTAGCTTACTATCTGCACAGCACCATGTACAGTGCCTGTTATTCAGGCAGACTGTAGCCAACGTTTTCTTTATCTTTTTTGTCTTTTTTGTTTTTATAAAGAAAATCTATGTAAGTTGAGGTTCAGAAATGCATATATTTTTTTACTTACAAATATTCATCTGATCAAAATTCAACATAACTTTTATGGAACACTAAACAATTGTTTTGCTTTTAAAATAACATTTCATTCAAACTGTATATAATTCAGTAAATTTTTTTTATACAGCAAGCAATGCTTAAACCCTGGAAAATCTGTAAAAAAGAGATTTTCACACAAAATAAGAAAAGAAAAATCTGAGGTATCCCTCACCCACACAGTCATTCATTCTAACTCCCGTGCGTGTGCACACGCACACACACACGCGCACACACACACACACACACACACACACACACACACACACACACCATTCTTGCTCACAAAGTGGCTGCAGCATAGGCAAAAAATTGTAGGTCCAAAGGAAATGATTGATTGTTCTAATAAAGAGTCCAGGTAGCTCAGAAACAAAACAAAACAAAACAAAACACAACAGTCCTCTGAGGAAATTACTACCTCAAAAAATGTTCTCAAGATGAATTTGAGATCTAAGCCTACTAAACTGCTTTGCAAAACAGCTCCCTGCAGTCCAAGGTGACATGTGCAAATAGAAGGAGTCAAATGAGGCTAGCTCCTGTACTTCCTTTTACAAAGGTGTGGGGTGCTTGGAGGTGCCCAGGGCTCTCCCGTCATGCCAGGTACTGCTGCAGCGCCGTCTTTGCCCTGAAATCACAAAGTTCCTGTTAGCTACCACCATACAACTGCAGGGGTAACCCTTGTGGCTAGTGGAGTTGGGAGTGAACTAGGCTGAGCCCAACTGAGCATACCTTATGGGGCAGAGACCTATGGTGACCAGGCATTTTTCCCCTTGGACAGTTCTTACTCTTGAGCCTACTGTTGCCTGGCAACATTCCACACTCACTCCCTGGCATACGCTAACAGTCTGAAGTGTTCCTACAGCTGAGATGAGTCTGGAATTCTGCCTTATTCTTAACTGCCATGTGGATTTTTTATAGTAATGCCCAGGACGAAGGGAAGACACCGGGGACTGATACAGGCAAAGGTGCTGAGGCCATGAAAAGGGGCCATGAGCCTGCGGAGTTAAGCTGCCTCCTGGTTCAAATGCCTCAGAACTACGAAGGAAGCCTACAGTTTGGCAAACTATAAAGATACAACCATGGAGTCAGGAAGTCCAGTTTTAGAACTGGTCTCTCCGACTAGCTTACAGAAAGGCAAGGCTAAAACTTACAGCTGCTATTAGCTGATGAAAGTGGTACTAAGGAGATGAGGCCAGTGACAAATTAGACTCAATTACAGCCGCTACTGTAAAGCCAAGGATTTAGTCTTAGAGAGTTTTATTTATTTTCTGT